CTCGCTGCATGGCTGGGAGGGTGGCATTGCTTTCAACCCTTTCACAAGGATATAAGGATACTTAGGAATAATGAGGGAGGTAAGGTCGCTTCTGGTATTATAGATAGGTACGGGAATCAATTTGAAGTAGTTAAAGACATCATTTCTGATTAGAGGAATTTGCATGATTAATTTTATCTGATTTTGTTTTACGTAGGCTTTTAATTCTATAGATTGCTCTATTCTTACTATATTCTCTATATATTAGCTGGAAACACAAGCTTGTCGGTTTTCTCAATTTTTCTTAATAATGCTATTAGTTCGTCTGTATCTATTATTGATTGGTGTAATTGGTTTACTTTGGCAAAAGCAATGACCGTTTCAATTTCATTTAGCCTTAGGTAGAGAGTTTGAAATCGGTTGAGGAAAGCATTATAGATATGGACAACTCTATTAATCGATTGTAAAACTTTTGATTCGTTTAATTTGTGAATAATATCTTGAATGCTTTCTTCAATTTTTACAAAATTACTTTTGGTAGAATTTGCTATTTTTGAGAATGAACCCAACATTTCAGCGACGATTGTTATTTTACTGTTTAAAGTGTTTTGTTTCGCCTGAACATCCTGAATTAATTTTTCATACCTTACAGCATCATCGTTATCAAGGTTGCCAGTGATTGTCTTAATTAATGAGCCAAGGGGATTTAGCAAACCACGCTTAGATCTTATTGACGGGTTTAGTTGTTTAAATTTTTCTATAGTTATGTTCATGACATAATCGGTTTGTGTTTCGACGTCGGAAAGGTCCGAATCTAATATTCTACTATCAAAACAGTTTTTAATCTGGATTTTTAACTTTACGTAACTATTCATATTGGATTCTAGTTCCTCATATAATAATTCTAAATCTAAAATTTTAATGAGTGTCCAAGCGTCATGACTGACCAGGGCTTGTCCTTCTTTAATAGGTAGTAGTCCGGGGTTCTTGTCAATCCGGTGTAGAAGAAAGGCTCCCGTCTGGACCACCAGAAGGAGTAACCTGCGGAGGGCGTTTGATATCTTTAATAGGTACCTTGGTGTTCCTATTATTCGTAGTGATGGGTACCACGTTACGTTCTATGACTCCAGTAACTTGAGCCTTTTGATACCGTGGTTTATCTTTGCCGCGCCTAGTGTTTACCCCTTTTATGTACACTGTGTCACCTATGTCTATGTCGAAATTTGTATCACCACCTCGCTTCTTTATTTCCGTCTGTTTTTTTGTCTATGATCTTATCTGTGAGATATTTGTATAAGTATTTCGTTCGTCGGGCATGTTCTTTTACGAGTTGTTGTGTAAATTGCTTGTTGAAATCGACGTGAAATACGTTATTTGATTCCGTGTGGCCAAAAACTACTTCAAATGGGGTGAGACCCGTTGTAGAATGTATTGTGTGGTTATAGGACATTATGGCGTATGCCATAACTGATGCAGCATCTGTTATCTTTTGTTCGTATTTGGCAATCCTATATATTTCTATGATGGTGGAGTGAAATCGCTCGACTACTCCCATGGAGTTTGGGTTATGGGGAGTGCCTATGTGGAGATCTATTTTATAAAAAGAGAGCATTTCCTTCATTAATGTGTTATTGAATTCAGTACCAGGATCTGAACTGATTCTATTGGGTGTTCCGTATAAAGAAAAGTACTTTATTAAGGCTCTAATAACTTCAGGTGTAGACTTGTTATTAATTTCGATCGCTTGACCTAGTTTACTAAAGGCATCCACGATTGTGAGATACTGTTTTCCGTCAATCGAGAAGATATCGATAAATAACTCTTGGAATGGTCTATTTTGTGTTTGTGTTAATTGTAATTCCGGTTTTAGTGGTTTACGATCATATTTCATTTTTCTACAAACTTCACATGCATCAATAATGCTAGCTATTGTCTGACTCATGTTATTCCAGTAGAACGTGCGTTTAAGGTGCAGTAAAGTCTCCTTTATACCCCTATGACTATTTTTGCCTGCATGGTATTTAATTATGATGTCGCGCTGTTCCTGTTCGTCGTCCACATATATTACTCTCTTTGTGCATTCGTAGAATTTTACCGTTCCTTTCTGAAAAAGTTTCAATATTGCTTCTGAGAACTGTTTGCGGTGCTGTGGGTCTTCGAAGTAAAGAAAGTATTTTATTTTGGGTCTTATATAGCTTTTCAGAAATCCTTTGATTAGTTCTGGGTTGTCCAGGGGTAGGTGGATTTCTAGGACCTTTTGCTTATCCCTAGATATGTCTTTAACGGATATTTTATTTCTATTCCATGTATGCACGAGTATTTGGTTTGGTTTGGTATCTATGGCTTCCTGTAATATAAGCATACCATCTGTATCAAGATCTTTTGCTGAATGAATTGTATCTATGGTACTCATATCATCTCGTCCTTCAGATGCAGTTGCAGTACTACTTGTAGTCGGTATGGAGTATGGAGATTGTCTACTCTTGCTCTGGATGGATAAGGTATTCTCATCGGAGTCGGATGAAATTTCTATCGGGGTCGGTGAGCTTTCATGTGACGTAGATGCTGCATTCCTCTGATTCAATTTTTCTATTTCACTAGTTAATTCAGCAATATAGCGTTTGAGTTTTTGCTCCTTTTCATCCACGTTCACCTGCATTGACGCGTCGTCGTCTTCACTTAACGCGTTCACCTTGATTCTTGATAAAGCGTCGGCATTACAATTTTGTTTTCCTTCCTTATGTTTTATTTCATAATCAAATTCCGCAAGCCGCAGTTTCCATCTTGTTAACTTGCTATTCGGTTCTGATATTGACTTGGCCCACATAAGTGGTCTGTGGTCGGTATATATGATAAATTTTTGTCCGTAAAGGTAAGGTCTGAAATGTTTTGTGGCCCACACTATTGCTAGGAATTCCTTTTCGATCGTGCTGTAGCGTGTTTCTGCGTCATTCAAAGTACGGCTCGCGTAAGCTACCGGTTTGTCGCTGCCTATAGGTCCTTGGGATAGTACTGCACCAATTGCGTAATTCGAGGCGTCCGTTGTAAGAATAAATGGTTTGGAGAAGTCTGGAAATTGTAAGAGCGGTGCGTTTGTCAAGAGCTCCTTGCATCTTTCAAATGCGTCTATGTATTCTTTTTTTGTACAGTCAATTCTATTTTTCTTTTTTAGACATGATGTAAGAGGTTGCGTGATTTTAGCAAAGTCTTTTATAAACTTCCGGTAGTAACCTACCAATCCAAGAAAACTCTTAATTTCAGTAGACGTTCGTGGTAGTGGGAATTTCAATACAGCTTCTATCTTGTCGTTATTGGGCTTTAAGCCGTCTTTCGTAATTGTGTGTCCAAGGTATAGAACTTCTTTTCGTAGGAATTCACATTTATCTAAGGTAACTTTGAGATTGGTTTCCCCCTGAGTCGATCAAAAACTTTCCTGAGTTTGTCGATATGTTCTTGCAGGCTGTTAGAGAACACTATGATGTCATCAAGATATACCAGGCAATGTATACCCTGAAGTCCTCGTAGCACGTTGTCCATTGCCCTCTGGAATGTTGCAGGAGCTGTCTTGAGCCCGAACGGGAGTCTTTTGAATTCGTAATGTCCTGTCTGTGTGGTGAATGCCGTTTTTGCCCTGTCTGCTTCGTTTACTTCAATTTGATGGTAACCACTGGCCAGGTCTATGGTGCTAAAATATTGGGATTTGCCTATTTTATCGAAAATATCTGTTATATTTGGCAATGGATATTTGTCGTCTACGGTTATTTCATTGAGACGTCTATAGTCGATGACCATCCTATATTTTTTTTCTCCAGTTGCATCTAATTTCTTTGGCACCAAATGAACGGGCGCACTCCAAGGTGAGTGGGAATCAACTATTACATTATCTGTCAAAAGTTTATCTACCTGTTTCTGAATTTCTTGATTAACAGCAGGCGGGTGTCTATAGGGCCTGATGTAGATTGGGTCTTCGTTGGTAGTCCTAATATTGTGCTTTATTTGGTTAGTAAATGATAATGGTATTTTATCACAATAAAATATGTCACGATACTCATAACACAATTTAGAAATATACTCACGTTCTTCTTTATTTGTGTGGTCTAGTCGTAATTTTTTTCAAGTTCTCTTTCAGTAGGTAATCAGTATTAAGGTCACCTTCTATAAAGTTAACTTCACATTCTTCATTCTTATAAATGGTTACGTGAAAAGGTTCTTTAAAAGTTATAACGGCTTTTACTTCAGAAGCGTTCTGTATGACCGTTTCAGCAAAGTAGTTCTCGCACTTTACAAGTGCGGCTGGCATACGGACGCCTTCCTGAAATTGCTTGTAGTCTATCAATGCTTCACCATGTTGTAAGTCAGTGGGAATCCTAATCTTCCTCTCAGTTCGTGGTGGTATCTCGATCTCATATGGTGGGTCGTATATTATAGGAATATACGCGTTGTGGGTCACCAACATTTGGTTACGCATGTCAATGTTTGCTCCTAATTTGGATAAAAGGTCAGATCCTATTAACCCGTCGTAACGTTTGTCTACGTCATACACATAAAATTTTTGCTGGAGATGGCTCTTGAAAGTTTTCAGCAATGGTATGTATATAATTTCATCATGTGTGCTCTGAGCATGAGTGCTAATAACTTTAAAAGGTTCATAGTATCTAAAATCATTAAAGTATTCTTTAACTTTTGCGGGACTTATAAAGGAACGCGAACTTCCCGTGTCAATAAGAAATTTAGAGTTTATTTCAGGTATTTCTATGTGTGGTAATTTTTGGATGCTGTTACAATAATTAAGGTTTATTATTTCTCCACATCCGTCGAGGCCGTTTCCCGAAAATTTTCCGAGTTTACAGGTATTTCGTCATGGGTATTTTCTTCATAACTATTTTCCTGGTATGCGAGACTTACTTCGTCGGTATTTTGGATATAATTGCATTCGTTGACGGAGTACGGTGCACCGTTTCCATATGAGTCATAGTTATAGTCATAATTATACATAGGCTCGTCGTAGTAAAGCTCATTCACAAGAAGGTTCTGCCTAACAGGGGCGGTACGCATCGTGACGTCATCATCATATTTTGGAGGCTGTATTTGTTGGTGGGGTATCCCGAATTTAAATCCACCGTATTGGAATGGTGGTCGTTGGTTAGGGGCTTGAGATGGGCGCTGCGGTTGAATTCCGAAACGATAGCCTTGTGTGGGTGGTGTGAAGGTTGGTTGTTGAGATGGAAACCTTGGTGGTTGGTACCCAAATTTCGGCTGCTGTGTGCTTGGAAGGTTGGCTTATGTTGTGGGAATGTGAATCTTGGTTGTTGCATTGTTTGGAAAGCTGGTCTAAGACTAACGTTTTGGGGTATGCCGAACTTGAAATTATTATGTGGAATTCCAAATTTAAAGTTATTATTTGCGTGTGGTGTTAAGTTGAATGATGCTGGTTTTGGATTTACCGGTTGAGATGTATTAGGTGAATTTTGGGCGGTTTGTCTCAAAAGTTTGCTTTTGGCGTCGTATTGGAATTTGAAGTTTACCTCTTCTGTGACAATACTGAGTGCGTTTTCTAATGTAGAGCAACCTTTTAGCCTTACAATTCTAATCATATCCTCAGGGAGGGTTATACAGAAAAACATTTAAAGCCGTATTATTATACACAATCATTTTGGCAGCCTTGATTCCTTCATCAGGCAATCTGTTGACCTTGGCAAAAAGTGAACTCCTAACATTTTGGATTCGATGGCAAAATTGAATATATGTTTCCGATGGTTTTATTTTTGAGGGTCTCTAGTTCGATCGCGATACATTCCTCCGAACGAGGATCGCCGAAATGTTGCGTTAAAATTTCCTTTAAGGCTAAATAAGACGTAATGTTTGGGTGATCGCTTAATAACGTCGCGGCTCTACCCGTCAGTCTACTAGACACAGCATGAAAAACATACAAATCTTGGGCCTGGTTTCCTACTATCACGCTTCCACTAACCACGTAATCACATTTGGATAAGAACAGGTTAAGCTGGCTTTCGTCCCCATCGTATTTAGGGATAAGTGAGAGCACCTCTTTAGGAATTGCTCGGAACTCCATTTTATTCACAAAATTAATGACTAAAACCTATCTCTACTTTATATACAATTTCAATGTTATTTAACTTTAAATTTATTTCTAAAATTTTTGACTTGCCGAGTTGTGCAAATGCGTAAAGATATGGTAGTAAGCTAAGCGATTTACCTATTTAGTGTAAATCAAAATCAAATAAAATTAATACTTAGATTCTACAAATTATAATGCGATATTATGTTGGAAAAGTCAAAGGAAATTGCAGGAAGTGAAAAGGTTTACTCACGCTGTTCTGCTCAATCCCATGTCCTCCTGAGTCTGTTCCGACACCCAATTTGCGCGCTTCCCCGGAGACGAATTTTATTTTTGGTTCGACGGATTTTCCTCGTACGCGTAAAAACGGTTTTTCGAATTTTCGCCAAGTTTGGGGCGAACGCGACCGTATATATTCGCGAAACTTTCGGAAAATCCTACCGGCTGCGCCAGTCAAGTTTGAGGAAGGCGCAACTTGCTTTTTAAAAAGACACTAAATCGATTTTTAATATTTAATGTTAATTAAAAATTACAAGTGAGTGATACAATCGGATGTTTAATACAGACTGTCCTTACGACTAAACTTAATACTAAAAGAAACGAGGGCTGGAACTGCTGCCTCTGCATTTTCGTCGTCGTCGGAACATTCCACTTCGCGTTACGATGCGTGGGAACCGCGGGCGCTAACTAAGCGTTATTGAGGAACAAAGGGCCAGGAACGGGAGAAGATCGTGTAACTATAAAGTATGAGAAAGCAATCAACAATTTTAGAAAAACTTCTTCCTGTTTATTATTATTTTTTTAATTAAATGGAAAAGGAATTGATAAAAATACATCTTAAAGTCAAATAAATTAATAAAGGCAAATTACTTATAATTATTATTTTTGGTTTTTATGGTTTATATTGTGATTTTAAAGAAATGGCTTATAAAATTTTTGCAGAAATTACGAATACAATTTTTGTTATTACATTTTTTTATATATTAGGAATTTTAATTTATCCTTTAAATGTTCAAGACTTACTACGTTATATTACTTTTTCAACTAAAATGAAATTTAAAAAATTATCGATAAGATCCTTATTTGTATCGATAAACGACAGCAATTATAACTAGAATCGAAATTTTGTCACTTTGCACAGACCTCGCGTAGCCTGTTGGTCCGAGCGTCATACACAACGGTAAACTATTGCTGTAGTCCCAAGTTCAAACCACTCATCGAGTGGAGTTGTATTTTTTATATTATTTTCACTTTTAATTTGTTAGCCAACTAGTTATTTTATTTTTATTTTATAAAATGGCTCAAATTGGGAAATAAACAAATTGTAAAAAAATTATAAAATAATTATATTTCGTGTACAAGATAAATTTTCGTTTTTCGGTGAACAATTAAATAAATTAATTAAAAAAAAGATGACGTTAAAAATTTTTAATACTAAAATTATATTTACTGATAGATTGTTCTCCAACTGTTTCAACTTTGAACAAATACAATAATATTTCGTTGTAATTATTTATGAAAATAAAAAATCAACAAAAATTAAATGGTAATTAAGAAATATTTTCAAATAAGAAAATCCAAATTAGTACAACAAAAAATTTCGGGATTTGAACCCAATCCATAAAGAATGATGGTCCTATACACTGTATGTATAGGACTGATAGACCAATCAATCACGAGATAAGACATTGAAATTATGCTTTAAATAAATTAATTAACAACTGTTAATATATACAAATAATTTATAAATACGAAAAATGTGAATATATATTTTTTAGTTTCGTGTTTTGAAAGGTCCGATAATATTAAAACTGTCAATAATAAATAAATACGAAACATATTTCGTAACGGTGATCGGGTGATGAGCGGCATAGGTCCATGTAGCAAGGCGCCTCAGCGCTCTCTGTTCAACGTGTGGAATTGGAAGAGCCGAAACAACGCCGCAGTGGCGCGGTGTTTTGGCCATCGCGTTCGAATTAATTTTAATGAATTAAATTAATATTTACAAATATCTTACATCAATCAACAAATTAAAACAACAATCCTTTTTATTAATATATTCTACACCACTGATATTAATTTCATTAAGATTTGTTGATGTATTACGTTCATTTTTGGATTTGAATTTCTCTTTTAGAGGTAGTTTCATGATTTTTTTCTATCGAGAAAATATATCGTGAATATGTTTTTTTGCTGCTATAAAATGTGTAGATTTTGCTAAAAAATCTTTTGAAAAACCTATTTTTACTGCATACAGCGCCTTAACTTCAAGCCCTCAAAAATTCAAATCCATATCATACTTATCATGTTCCATGACAAATAATATATATATTTTTAATTATTAGTATAATTATCAGTTGTTATGTTATTAACGGAATGAAAATTCATACATTACAATAATTCATACATATCCACTACATTTCCCATTCACAGTAAATTACTACAGAGATATTAAATGTCCTGAATTACTACACAGAATACGCAAAATTGCGTGATAATGAGTCCATTATCTAGTCAGAGCAATAGAACTTAAATATTGAATACAATGGATACAATTAGCCGCTATACGAATGATGTACTTCCATTGCGATTCTGTTGTTCAAATAGACTTAAATAAATTTACCCGCTTTATCCTTTTTTTACCATCGTTTCAAACACCAGTCATGGCTTCGGGAGTAGTTAGTCATCTTACTAGCATAGTGCGGCGAGCATTATCTATTAAAACTATTTGTTTACGTCCGTCCAATATGTACTTAAGGTAATGATAGTGTCTTGTGGTGTTTGTGTGCTAAGCTTATTTTTATATATTGTAGGATCGCAAATTTGATGGTAGTATCTACCTACTCAACTTATTTATTGAAAATTGAAGCGCGCCTTTGTACATTTTTTGTAGCTTTGTTTCACTTATACTCTGTGTACAATAAAGAATAAAGTAGATTGGGACAACGTTATATTGACACAAATTGCTATACAAGGCTTGCGCACGATCCGTAATCTCATGTGCTTGCATGTCTTTAAAGTTTATATGATCCAGATTAAATTCTAAGTAAATACAGTGTTCACAGTAAACGGTGGTACTAAAAATACGTGTCGAGGCCAGAAGGTACATGCCCACTTTAGAGACCCAACACTTCGTGACAATCGAAAATCCTGTTCCCTAACACAACCGTTCGCAAACGTCGCCCTCGTAACGTCCTTATTCTAGTAGAATAGAGAAACGCAAGGAATATCAAGGACCCATTGATTGCCGTTACGAAGCGTTAACTTTGAGTAGATTGCAATTCGCTCTCATCTGCGAACACGGTGAAACCAACACACCGTATATCGTGAACGTACATAACCACAACCACATTCAGAGACGCTTCTCAAAGCTCTCTCAGCTAACTAATAACATAGTCAAAGATCTGCGTACCGAACTTCGACGGCCTGTAACCGACAAGTCCATAATTTAATTTATACATGTGTTTAAATCACATACATCTGGCAATCTGTGCTTAAATTAATACATTTTACACGATAATCTTAAAAGTGTGAGCGCAACACAACATTCGTTTGTTGTCGTACAAAATTAGTTGTGATTTTCACAATCGGGCAAGTAGTTGAGCGAGTGGATGAGACTCGTTTCTTGTTTTCCTACTTCTGAGTTAAAAAAAAACATTTTTCACTTGCTACATTTTGGGATTTTTACCAATTTTTACTCGTTTTCTCTGTTTACTCCTTAAGTGTTAAATTAAAACTCAAGATGTAATTAACATTGAACTACGTTGAAATATATTTGATATTAAACATTTTAATTGATATTTAAAAATGTTACAGTTGTGAGAGTTTGAATTTATATCTTATATTTTAATAATGATTCAGAAAATCCACTTAAATGAAGAACAGAGACACTTTAATGAAGAATGTCTATTTTCTTAAGTGACAATATAAATAATAATTGCTTTCCTCAGGTTATTATTTTTTTTCAAAACTAGCATTCAATGACTAGTTCGGCCTTTAAATTATACAAAAACGTTGGGCGGTTTAATTTCAAAATAATTTTTAGTTTCAGGAACCCAAGATTGAAAATATCAAGCTTTTTTTTAACTCCTCAATCAAAATAATTATTTTTACCTTAATTCTACGGTTTTCACTTCTGCGTAATCTCACACAAAAAAATATTATTTTAACGTAGACTGCACGGTCGCCTCCAATAAGAGAAAGAGCGAAATTTATTATTAACTTCGTGGGAACTTC